TAATAATAATAATAATAATAAAAGTAGAGAGAAGAGCCAGGTGTGGTGGCTCACGCCTGTAATCCCAGCACTTCGAGGGTCTGAGTTGGGTGGATTACCTTCGTTTGGGAGTTCGAGACCAGCCTGGCCAACATGGAGAAACCCCATCTCTACTAAAAATACAAAATGAACCAGGTGTGGTGGCTCATGCCTGTAATCCCAGCTACTCAGAAGGCTGAGGCATGAGAATTACTTGAAGCCGGGAGGTGGAGGTTATGGTGAGCTGAGATTGCGCCATTGCACTCCAGCCTGGACAACAAGAGCGAAACTCCATCTCAAAAAAAAAGTAGTCAGAAGATGTAAGGAACTCCTGCCTCCCACCATCCGACTTCAGCGCTTACCAACTCAAGGTCAACCTGTCTCTTCTCTACCTCACCTGCTCCCCACAGGCCCTGGAATATTTTGAAGCAAATCCCCGACATTACAGCAATTCATCTATAAAGCTGTAGTATGTTTCGCCAAAAGACAAGACTTTAAAAACATAACCACAAGCCAGGTGCGGTGGCTCATGGCTTTATTCCCAACTATTCAAGAGGCAGGAAGATCCTCTGAGCCAGGAGTTTGAGTCCATCCTGGGAGGCAACAGAGGAAGGCACCACCTCTCAAAAAAAAAAAAAAAAAAAAAAAAATTTTAAATTTAAAACATAACCACAACACCATATTGGTCCTAAATATTTATTTATTAGTTTTTTTTAGATGGAATTTTGCTCTCGTCACCCAGCCTGAGTGCAATGGCACAATCTCGGCTCACTGCAACCTCTGCCTCCCAGGTTCAAGCGATTCTCCTGCCTCAGCCTCCCAAGTAGCTGGGATTACAGGCAACCGTCACCATGCCCACCTAATTTTTTGTATTTTTTTTTAGTAGAGACGGGGTTTCACCGTGTTGGCCAGGCCAGTCTCGAACTCCTGACCTCAGGTGATCCACCTGCCTTGGCCTCCCAGAGTTCTGGGATTGCAGGCGTGAGCCACCGCACCCGGCCCTAAAATTTTTAATAATTCCTCCATGTAGTCAAATATGCATTGTTCAAAAATATCCATTGTTCAAATTTCCCCAATATCTTTTCTTTTTTCCCAGTTGGGTTAAAATTTGGCTCCAAACAAGGTCTGCAGGTCACATCTATTTGCTGTCTCTGAAGACCCCCTTACTTTTCTTCATGTAATGCGTTTGTTAGGGAACCAGGCTGCTAGGAAGCATGAACCTGGGGGAATGCAGGAAGGGGAGAGAGGGGTCAGGAAGGAGAGGAGGATCGTGGCCAGAATAGACAGGCCATCCATGCTGGGGGACACAGGCAGGACGTGGAGGCCTGTCTCCCTGCCTGGGAGGGAATACCAAGGCTGCTGAAGGATGGGGCCCAACCCTGAGCACCCCTCCTCCCCCCTGCATCCAGCTGCAAGACGTGAGCCGAGATAGAAAGACGGCCTGAGCCAGGAGCAGATCTCAGGTTGTCGAGGGATCCCGCTGCCCACGTCACACGGGAGGTGAGGGAGGGGCGGGGCCTGAGGCCTAGAAAGAGCAGGATGCGTATGCAGGAGAGGGAGGGAGAGGACAGTGCCACAACCCAGCTCCAGGCCAGTCCCCAGCTCCTCCCTGCCTGGCCCGATCTCAGGAGCCCCTCCCTGGCCTCCCAGCTATGATCTACCCCAGGGCCCAGACATCAGGCGCCTTCACAATGCCAGCAGTCAGTGGTCCAGATCCCTTGTTCTGCCTTCTCCTCCTGCTCCTGACTCCCCACAGCCCTGAGGCGGGGTGTCCTCCTCTGCGCAGGTTTGAGTACAAGTTCAGCTTCAAAGGCCCAAGGCTGGCATTGCCTGGGGCTGGAATACCCTTCTGGAGCCATCATGGAGGTGAGGGGCAGGGGTGGGGACCCGCCATGCCCAGGGTCCCTCAAAGTACTGGATGGGCTGTGACTTGGTGGGGAGTGGGTCTGTCACGGCCATCCTTTGTCCAGGGTGGGGCAGGGCTTGGGTCAGTGCCAGGGGCCCCAGGACCTCTCCCAGGCTTGTCTCCTGCTCCACTGCCCCGATACCCCCCACCCCCACCCAGGCTCAGTTTCTCCTCTGCTTCTCTGCCTCTCCTTGGACCCCTGGCCTTCCTCTGCCTCTCTGACCTGTGAACACACACACAAATGCTCACACACACACATGCTCACACACTAAGTCCCAGACACACAGGAACAAGGCAATGTGGACCAGCGCAAACCTACACTCTCCTGGCTCCATCCCATCGGGCCTGTGGTTAGAACTGGGGGCTACCTGGAGGGAGGCATCCTCATCCCAGCTGCGAGGGCAGCAGCCCTTCCCTGTATGTGTGTTGTGGGTGGAAGCAGGCATGAGAGCATCTTAGCCCACAGGTCTGTGATCAGGGCCTTCCAAACCCAGACCCACAGAGTGCGCCTTCTACCTGACCTTGTTCCAAAAGGATTTGTGATGACGAAACTACACGCTAGAGGGGAGCTTACATTAGGAGTGAGCAAGAACGATGGGGGTTAGAGTGGGGCCTGCAATAGTCTGGGAGCATGGCTTGTTTCCAAACATACACTGTGAGGTCTACCCACCTCAGAGTCAGGCCATGGATTGAATCCTGAGCTTCTTAGCAGGCAAAGCAAAGATAGAAAGCAGATCAGCTGTGGGTTTCTATGAGATGTGAGTGCTGAGAAGTGGCATGATTCCTGACTAAGGCCAGGACAAAAATATATCTTTTAGATGATAGGCCCAGTCAGTAGGGTCTCTTCTGGTCCTCCTTCATAGAGACATGTAAGGCAACAAAAGAGTGAGCTGTTTCTCACAGCACCAAGCCGGGCCCTGCCTCAGGACCCGGATGGCAAAGCCTATACGACACTCACTGCTCTGGGCCCGGCCAAGTCTGGGTGTCACAGCTCATGTGAGGGAGCAGAGGCACCTTCTCCAGGGTCACCCAGTGATGTGTGCATTGCATATGCATTCATTCGTTCACCCTGATGCTCCTCTGTGCCCAGCCCAGAGACACAGGGCCTCATAAGGCTGAAAGCGTAGTAGGCGGTGGACAATCTCTGCCTCCTGCAAGTCATTCAGAGGCAGTGGCAGCTTCCAGAGGCCCTGGGACCTGTGGCCTTGCAACTCTGCGCCTCCCCACCCCCAACCCTGGCCTTTGCAGAGCAAACGGGCTGGATTAGCAGCCTCCGGAACATCCTGGCAGGGTGTGGGACCTGGGCCAGGTTCCAGGCTGGCAGGCTGGAGGGAGAGGAGCAAGTTGGAGTAGGGCCTCTGAGTTCCCTGCCCCTAGTTCCTGCCAAGTCTGCCTCAGTTTCTCTCTCATTCCTCCTTCCCACCAGGCAGAGCTCCTTCCTCCTCACCCCACCACCACCAGTGACAATCCTCACACACACGCTCTATCCTGAACCCTTTCCTCGCCAGCCTGCGGGCCCATTCTCACCTTCACACTTCGCTTTCCTGCATTCCTCGCCTTGGAGTGTCCCCTTGGTCCTGTCCACCAGGAAGCTCTGGCCTCATTTGGCCACAGCCTGGAGTCCTGGGCCTCCCTGCAGTTACTCCCCTCCTTAAAGTCCTCTCCTGGGTTCTGTGGTCTCAGGCACTTCCATTTTTGTCATAAGGCCTCAGTTTTCTCATCTGAGAAATGGGAAGAGTTAGACACAAATCTCTCTCGTGGTGGAAAAAGCTTATACTTTGGAGTCATATGGAGCTGAATTCCAGACAATCCACTTGGTTCCTTAAGTTTTCTAAGCCTCAGTTTCCTCCATCTGTTAGATGGGGTCTTACGAAAACAGACCACACACACTGCAGTGAGGCTTCACCGATGCGGACGGGGCTGGCATTCATTGCCCTCCCTGGCAAAGGCCCCTCCAGCTGTGCTGGGCTCTGACTCCCAATTCCTATGCGTCTCTGACTCCTGCCTCCCTGGCTAACCTTGACATTGTCTCTTCCTCTTCCGGGGCCCAGCCCAGGCCAGTGAGAGTGAAGGGGGAGGGGAGTATAGTGGGGCCTAGGGCCTGAGCTGCCCTGGTCCACAGACGCCATCCTGGGCCTGGAGGAAGTGCGGCTGGCACCATCCATGAGGAACCGGAGTGGCGCCGTGTGGAGCCGGGCCTCTGTCCCCTTCTCTGCCTGGGAAGTAGAGGTGCAGATGAGGGTAACAGGGCTGGGCCGCCAGGGAGCCCAGGGCATGGTGAGTGTCCTCTCCCGGACCTGACAGAGTGGGGTGGGTCAGGGAGGCGGGTGAGGAGCCCTGGGGTCCCAGGATCCCGCACAGTCCCCTGAGCTAAGGGGCTGGGGACCTGCAGGCCGTGTGGTACACCCGGAGCAGAGGCCGTGTAGGCTCTGTCCTGGGGGCGATGGCCTCGTGGAATGGCATCGGGATCTTCTTTGACTCCTCAGCAGAGGATACCCAGGTGCGTAGTGGTCTCTGCCTGACAGCCCATCTGCCCGCCCACACCCTCCCCGTCCTGCCCTGCCCGCGGCTCAGGCTGCTTCTCACCTCCCTGCAGAACAGCCCGGCCATCCGTGTACTGGCCAGCGATGGACACACCCACTCCAAGCAGCCCGGGTAAGGGCCTGTCTGGACTGACCCCTCACCTCCATTCGTGCATTGGGAGGGTCCCATGCCCCCATCCAAGCCCCTGCCCCAGACTCCAGCAGGGGGCCCACCCTACCCTGGGCTGCCATCCTTGCTGGCCTCTCTCAGCCAGAACTCCGCCTCCCTGGGGCTTGATTCCTTCAACCCAACAGCCCCAGGGGAAATGAACGACAGAGGCTGGGGCCTGAGATGAGTATCTCTGCTCCCATGATCTCATCCCATCTCCAACACCCTCCGTAAGCGGGGATTATTTGTCCTGTTTACAGGTAAGGACAGTGAGCCCCAGAGAAGAGAAGGACGCTGAGTGCAGAGCTGAACTTTGAGCCCAGACTTGCCCCTGGAGGGTCCCCGCCCTCCCTTCATAGCTGTCCCTTCCCTTTCCACTGATGATTTGGCTTCTGTCCCTCCCTGGCCCGGCTGCCTCCTCAGTAGCTGGGCCGGTTTGTCAGTGTCTCTCAGCAACCTTCCCTCAGCTCATAACAATTAGAGTAATTGCCTGCATTTATGGAGTAAGCTGACGGTATGCCAGGCACAGCACCAAGCCCTTCTCATTCACTGTCTTAGTTAACCCTCATAACATTGTTATGAGGTAGTTTCAATTACCAACCTCATTTTAGAGATGGGAACGCCGTGGCTTGGAGAGATGAGATGGCTTGCCCAAGGTCACACAGCTCGAGGCGCAAACCCAGGTGGCTGCTCCGGGGCTGGCTTCTCCCCTGTCCTGTGCTGCCTTCCTCTTGGTGGAAGGTGGCACTGCCAGACGCTCTGCTGTGAGCAGTCAGTGTGTCCAGAGACACTCAGGGCTCAACGCTCTTCTTCTGACTCCCCAGAGCCTGCCATGCGCCCTGTTGGGGAGGCAGGCTGGTCACATTGTCCTTGGCTGCTAAGACATGTCCAGGTCATCCATCCTGAGTCAGCTGCATTCTGAGCCCTGGCAGCTAAGAGAGGAAGGGGAAGCCGGAGGCACAAGGGACTTGGAATTTAAGACAAAGAGGGGCTGGGCGCAGTGGCTCATGCCAATAATCCTAGCACTTTGGAGGCCAAGGCGGGTGGATCACGTGAGGTCAGGAGTTCAAGACCAGCCTAACCAACATGGAGAAACCCCATCTCTACTAAAAAAAAAACAACACAGAATTAGCTGGACGTGGTGGCATATACCTATAATCCCAGCTACTCTGGAGGTTGAGGCAGAAGAACTACTTGAAACCAGAGGCAGAGGTTGCAGTCAGCCGAGATCGCGTCATTGAATTCCAGCCTGGGTGACAAAGCAAGACTCCATCTCGGAAAAAAAAGAGAGAGAGAAGAAGGAGGGAGGGAAGACTGATAGGAGAAGGTGGTGGGTCAGGGGGATGGAGGGCAGAAACTGCAGCATTGGTCGAGGCCTCTGTCTCCTTGGGGAAGGGCCACAGGGAGGCCCCTGGCCCCTTCTGTAAATCCAGGTCCCAACACTCCGCCAGTCAGGGCTTGCTCTCCAGGGCTGCTATCCTTGCTGGCCTCTCTCAACTTCTTCCACTGCGCCCTCTCTTCTGCCAAGGGAGCAGGCTACAGCAAGGGAGAGACTCAAGCTAGACAAGGGACATGTCCCATGCCAGTTCACCCAGTGGCACAGCAGATCTGGGCAGAGCAGCTTCCAGGACTGCCCTCACCGGCCAGGCCTTGAGTCGTGTGTATCCTGGCTGGATTCCAACTGCCCACAAGGGCTGGGAGCGGTGGCTCCCGCTTGTAATCCCAGCACTTTGAGACGCCAAGGTGGGCAGATTACTTGAGGTTAGGAGTTTGAGACCAACCTGGCCAACAAAGTGAAATGCCGTCTCTACAAAAAATACAAAAATTAGCCGGGCATGGTGGTACATGCCTGCAGCTCAGCTACTTGGGAGGCTGAGGTGGGAGGATCACGTGAGCCCAGCAGACAGAGGTTGCAGTGAGCCACAACTGCACAACTGCACTCCAGCCTGGGCAACAGAGGGACTCCTTCTCAAAAACAAACAACAACAAAAAAACCCAACTGCCCACAGGGATGGGGCCAGTCAAGTGCTGGGCTCCTGTCATCGGGACTTCCGGAACCAACCACACCCCTTCAGAGCACGGATCACCTACTGGGGGCAGAGGCTGCGCGTGAGTCACCCTTCCTGCTTGACAGGGCCCTGAGTTACAGAGCTGCTATGTGTGCGTGTCCACAGCCCCAACACACCGGTGCTTGTGACACCACGTGAGGTCCCTGGCACACATGGGCCAACATCCACAGGGGATCCTCCATCCCTACACAGAATCCTAACACTCACCCAGAGCACACAGACGTAAGGGCTCCTGAGACCAGGAGCACCGGTCACCTCCATGCCATTCTGAGACTAAGCCCTAGGGCCGCCTGCCCTCCCATGGCCAGGGGAGCCAGGGAGTCAGCGGTAGGGATGACCCCCCACTGCTCACTCCCTCCGTGTTCCTCAGGTGTCCTTGAACAGCGGCCTCACTCCCCGTGATCCAGATGAGGTCTGTGTGGATGTGGGGCCCCTGCGTTTGGCCCCTGGAGGTTTCTTTGGGGTCTCAGCAGCCACAGGCACCCTGGCAGGTGAGGATCCCACCGGCTAGGGAAGAGCAGAAGGGCAGTGACGAAGGAATCACCCTGAGCCACCTTCTAAAGAGCACTGGGGTGGCATCAGCCACTTCGCCACGTGACCTGGACCTCCATGACCCATGACCCTCGGGAGAAGTCATATCTGCCTTGAGACTTGCAAGTCTCAGATGGGATAAAACAAGAGAAGCTTTGATTTCAGTGCTGGGCCCATAAGTGCCTCTAGCTGGGAGCTGTGGGGCCAGTGGGAGACAGACAGCAAGGAGGGACATTTAGAAAAGTGGAGCAAAGAGATGTGATGCCACGGAGAGCCCACGGAGGGTCCCGCAGCAGGAAAGCCAAGACAACCAGAGTGTGGGAGTCCTTGAATGCCAGGACCTTGATGTGATTTCTGTTTTTTTTTTTTTTTTTTTTTTTTTGAGATGGAGTCTCACTCT